ATTTCTGACATTTGAAGCACCTCAAGGGAGCTGGGACGTACTGTTCGACTCTCTCCAGACAGCCTATTTTGACCACTTTAGGGGTTTGGGGCTGGTTAAAAGTTAATATGTAGGTGTTATTTTCGACTTTTTTATCACCCTTTCTTATAGTCACTCTTCTTATATTTATCACTCCCTGTTTTCCCAGGGCATCTCTTATCTTGTCTTCTGAGGCTAAAGCCAACTCCCGACTTCTGATGACACCTTTGGAAGTGTTAAGTCTCTCATGTGGATAAGTTTTACATTTGGAGTTATGAAATCTTTTCATTTTTAGGAGGTTTTCTGCTTGTCTTCTGTTATCCACCTCAACAAGCAAGTTTCCATTTCTCAATTTTTTAACATTTTTTGGTGTTGCTCATGCAGAGATAATTTTTTCAATTAAAAATGGAGAGAATTTAGCGTGACAGACCTCTTCCAGGGATTCAATGATAATGAATCTGGGGAAGTCTGCTGTTTCACACTCAGAGTCTGATTCGGATAAATTTCTTTTAGTTTTTTTATTTAAGGATGCCATGTTTGGGTTTTTATTTTCATTGGCCCTGTGCTCCACCACTCACCACGGAGTCTGACTTAAGAAGGGAATGAACCAAGGGGGTAACCCATTCGCCTTGGTTGAGTCAGGGATACACGACCAGTATACTCATATTAAGAGCACGTCTTGAGCCTCTGCAAAATTTTGGTTATAAAGCCCTTCAATTTTACAGTGGTGAAAAAGTCTTTTGCTCTCAACACAGTTGACCCTCAGCCCCCGCCTTCTAGCACATATAAGATAAAGGGTTGTGAAATGGTCTACTAATATAGATTCAATAATACTATTGGGAGAAAAAGAAATATATATGAGCTAGGGCATGTCGGGACCAGCCGATTGATCGGATCGGGCCTCTCCGACCGCCCGTCTAGCCCAGGTAAGTGTCTTTGTTATGTGGTGTGTTGTAGGAACATGACCTCTTTGCACCCAGGTCATGACCTTCTCAACCACCAGGATCTTTTCCCCAGGCATTACGGGTCGCCACCCACAGCCAACAGGTGGCCCCCTTGGGGGACTTTTACCCCCTACAGACGTGCAGTCGGCGTATTCTGAAGCCCCACCGACAGAGCGAGGAAGTTTTGGGTAAACAGCAAAGAAAAATCTAACCATGGGTCATGAAGGAAATCTTGGAGAGGACTGAGAGAAAAAAAGCACTCAAATGGCGAGGTCTATACCCAATATCAGGAAGTGCAAAGTGATGTGAGGAGAAAAATACGAGAAGCTAAGGGAGAGTGGATGCAAAATAAGTGCAAAACCATTGAGAAGAATATGCTTACAGACAATAACAAAGAGGCTTATAATACTCTCAAATACTTCACTAAGACCAGCCAACAGAGAGCAACAGTCATAGAGGATAAGAATGGTATATTGCTGACAGACACTGAGAAGGTCCTCCATAGAGGGACTCAATACTGTGATGGTTTATACAATTACCAACTTCATCCAGATGTCTCCATATTGCAAAGTGACCAGCACTCTACAGAAGATGAGACCAGTCTGTCAATACTGAAAGAAGATGTTGAGTTGGCAGTAAAGAGCTTGAAACCTAGCAAACCAACTGGGGTGAATAATATTCCCTCTGATATGATAAAACATGGAGGTGAAGAGACTATCAAAGTCATAACAACACTATGCCAGAAGATTTGGGAACAAAAATGTGGTCTAACGAGTGGACTCAGTTACTGGTAATTCTGGGAAAACAAATGGGAGGATTCTTCCGGATAACTGTTGGTGTGCGACAGGAATGCGTACAGAATTATGCAAGAAACCTTGACTGACCATGATCCTTCAATCACTATCAGTGGCAGATCTGTCTGTAATTTATGTTTTGTAGATGACATTGACCTCATAACAGGTAGTAACAGTGAGCTCCAGAACTTGACCAACAAACTTTTATGAAAGAGCAGGTGCATATGGAATGGAGAAAGGCGTTGGTTAGATCCAGTGACAGGACCCAAATAGTGTGATTTCAATACCTGGTTAAGGCAGTGGAGAACTTTCAGAGGGAAAATTAACAGGAGATAACTGACATCCATCAAACATGGCACGTGGAACTAGAACAGTCTACCCCAGTGAGCGAAATAAAGGGTTCAGTTTGACATTCCAGCCACCTGAAGAAGGCCAGAGCGTACAACAGCCGAAACGTTCTGTTAAATATGGCGACAAAGATGAGGACAATAGTCCGAATAATGTAAATAATGTAAACATAAATAGTTTATGAAAAATAAAAAATAGAATAAGGAAATGTAGAAATATTAAAAACAGACCCAAAGTTTTTCCAGTGTTAGGAAAACTGTCTGTCCTATCTCTTACTCTTTCTTTGATCTGCCACGCTGTCTATGACATCATCTATAAAAATCAGAACCTTGATAAGGAGTTAAAATATCAAAATCTAATGAAATAATCCAAACTTCTTACATATCATACATACCTGTCTATATATAAATAAGAGAAAAGTAGTTTTGTCCAGTCACACACCTTAACATTAGCATATGATAAAACTGGTCCACTACAAACCAATGACTCCTTTTGAGCATTTACTCAAAACAACATAAACTGTTCTTCTTGATCCATACTGGAGATTTAACAATAATATATTTATGTCCAAATAAATATTCACACTTGTTGGTACTAATTCTTATGTTATTTAATGCATGAAGTGTTGACACCACAATAATCAACATAATAACAACAGAATGTTTCCACCTGTACACCACAAATCTCCACACAAAGCCTGTGATAACAGAAACCAAACCAGTGAAAACTTATTTACCAGTTTGCAATCTATCTCAAGAATTGAACCAATCCTTTTGTGAAGGAAAATTGATCAATCAAATAATAAAAACAATTGCAAAAGCTATATTAAAAAGAATGTCTGCTAAGATGGCAAACATAGCTGTAGAAGAACTCCAGAATGCCATTGATCAACATATTGTCAGTGTCACATCACTAAAAATAACAAAGACATCTGTGAGGAATTTTGTGACTACTACCAGAATCCTTTTACTTGGTAGCCCAGTCAGTGGTTCAACATCTATTCAGCCAACTTTACTTGACTTGAGGCAATAGAAACAGCTTGGCATGAGGATCCTATTAAAGGAAAAAAAAATCTGGGAAGCATTGAAAATGGTCAGAATGAAGAAGTCTCTTTCCTTAAGAAGTGTATTTGATACTGTCATACATGTTTACCTGCTTACTGGCACTGTTCTTCAACAACTTTAAATCATTAATGAGGAAAATAATGACATTGTAAATATGAATAATTGGAATTTTCATAGATAGATGGTGATTGTTGTATAAACAATTCAGAAAAAATGCAATGCAATGTTATAGTAAAAGGAATAATGAAGAATGTTTGAGTTAGTAAATGCGATTAGTTAAGTTAATGACAGGAGAGAAAAAAATAACAACTTCCCCTAATGTTCATCCTCATGCCACAATTTTTGTGAATATTATTTTTTATAGGCAACAAATTATGTAACACTTATTTCAATTAACCATTGTTTCTTAGAGAATGATTACTTCACGACTTATGTAAATGTAAAAAAAAACAGTCTAAGTTGATAATATAAGTGACAGAAAACTATAAAAATGTATTGTTGATTATTTACGGCTAATTTAAATAATGCATTGATTGTTTGCGTCAAATGGCAATAATTAAGTAAAACAGGCATTAAAATAAGTAACCAAGTAATCGTTTTAAGTTTTCTGAATATCAACGCCTTTTTAATGCAAAAATAAAAATTCACAGTCGTCAAATGTGCTGAACTCTTTTAAAACAATACAATGGGAATGTGCTGCTCTGGGGTTGGGATCCCCGGTACAAGGATTGTTTTGTTTCAGAAGATTAAAAACGTGACTGACACTGACCAAAAAAAAATAAGAGAAAAGGGATAGTAATTAGAATTTAAGGTTTCCGTTTATTTCTCACTATACGAGTGCAAAATGTGAGAAGTTATTTTAATTGACGAATCGACACACGTATGTGGGTCAAGACAAAAATTGTTACTTCCCTAGGCCTTGCTTTTAACACGCCACAGACATCAAAGGAATGCCCTGACCCCACCCCTTTAGTGCAATGGGGAGGTGTGGCCTGTAATCAATGATTGATATATCTCGAAGAAACAACGTTACATCTTTGTTTTGTGGTGTTTGAAGCGGCAAATGTAAGAATTTTTTTATTTTTTAAATAAATTAAACTTCTTAATTCCTTTTTTTTCCAAGAGGGTAAAAATAGAGTTGAGAAGAAGAATACTTTACTCAATTGAATACAAATGACCTATTTCTGAAAAATCATCGGCTTTTACGAAAAATATCGAAAATAGCCGACTCCATAATTACATTTTTCTATTTGTCATCGGTAGACTCTTTTAACTATGGAAGGCTAGTAGTACTTATTACAAATAAAATATTTCCCTCCTAATTTTAAGACATACAGCTTACTAATTGTATAGAAAGGATTTCTTTAGTCTTTAAAAATGGTAAGAATTAAATCTTTTACTTCTGAAAAAAGATCAAAAATTGAAATCTTAATTAAAAGCTTAAATTTTAACGATCAAAATTTTTAATTTCATTAAAATCTGAAAACTTACACTGCAAGACACACATTTATTTAAAAAGGGGAAAAAGTATTTTTGTCCACAAAAAATTCTAATTTTTCTTGCATATCATATTTCCCCCGAATGTTAAATTACACATAAAAATTAAAATCTCCAAACAATAAATTAAGTAACAGTGAGAAATTTGTATCACTTTCAACCATCCGTAGTTTGTGTCGATCAGCATGTACTATTCACTGTTCATATTTGCTGAGAAATGTCTCTTATGATGACCGTTTTCTTGTAACTCCTTTGGAAAGGAATCCAAAAAAGCAAAAACAAACAAACTAAGCGACGTTTGATATCTTAAAATCTTGTGAAATATTTCCTGATGAATGGTAATTATCAGTTTGACTGCATGCTTTTTAAAACAAAGCCAGGCTGTTTAATTTTGTAATGTTTATGTATTTGGGACAAAAGAGAGAGAAAAGCTTTTCTTGTTTCGCGATTTGCCATTGTCGGGTTTTCTTTTATTAATTCTGCTCATTTTGATCGGATTTTAAAATGAAAATTCAATTTTCTGCTGATTGCAATGTTTAGTTGCATTAAAAAAATCTATTTAAAAACAGGGCCGTTTATCCAGACAATATTTTTTTTTCTTTTCAAGAAGAAAGAAAGAAAGAAAGAAAGGCATGGTCTTCACTTTTTGTTCATTTGTTTTTCTTTTACAAAGCAAAAAAGAAAAGAGACTAAAGATCCTGATTAGTATAATAATAATAATAATTTGCTCCTTTGTTTGGACAATTATTTGGCATTGATCACCTTTGTTTTAAATTGTTTTTTTTTTATGATAGAATTTTTTTTGTTTCAATTTCGTTTTTTTTTGTTCTTTAAATAACACAAAAAACAGAAAAAATAACTTAAACTAAAAAAAATTATTTCGTTGATAATTTAATTTTCCCCTTATTCTACATTCAATATTTTATTAATTTCGTAAAATTAAAATGAATTTTTTAGTCTACCTACATTTTTTAAGCGGAATTGTTTTTATTTAAAACAAAAAATATTAACAACGTAACAATAACATTTTTAGGTTATTCATTTACTGTTGATCCCATAAAAATGCCTTTCTAAATTTTTAAAAGCATTGTCAGAAAATTATAATTTATTGTTTATCTACAAAATATTCATCATCATTTCTTGCAAAAAATGTCTATCCACCACGTGTATTGCAACCCATCTTCTTTGCGTAGAAAACTACAATTTTCAACAGCCTGTATTCTTAATAATAAATAATACCATAAATAATCCATGTTAAAATCCCTTACTTCTTTCTCTCCCTAATTATTGGAAAGCAAAATGGTCATAAAGTGGAGGACCAAATTAGAAGAGAAATTAATTAAAAACTGGTCACCTACTTTATGTTCGTCCCTTTATTTTATTTTTTTTCTTCAAATCCGTTTATCCTGCAAAAAATTGTGGATAAAATCCCTTTTTTTTTTTTTTAAATTCATTGCAACCTTATATTTGTTTCGATTTTCACTGCTGAATTTTAGAGGTTGGTTGAAGCCTCGATACAAACTAAAATGTCAATATTTGCCGATCGAAGTAAATTTTTGCTTTCACAGCTTTCAGCGTTCGACGTGTAGCCATTTTGTTTGTTTCCTTCTGAAAAACTCGCAACAATTCTTCGTCTTTTCTCAAGTCTTTTCCTTTCTTGGTCATTTTTTTTCTACAACTGATATTAGTTTTCATTGGAGTCAGTTTCATTTTGCTTTTTCTACAAGTCACCTTACAAGTTTAATTGGTAACTTTTGTTGTTTTCTCGTTTTTATTTATTTACTTTTTTACTCGACCTCATATTGCAGATGTACAAGTTTATGTCTACACAATGATTATTAAAAAGAAATATATTTTTTGTGAGAATGAAGATAAATTTATATTTTAAACAGGTACAATTGTTTGAAAAAGTGAAGTCATTTTTCAAATAATTTTCCTTTTTATTTAAATTGTTTTACCTCCCACCAATAGGCACAATCATTCATTAGTTTCAACAAGGTGCAAAATTTTAAAAACAACAGTTTTTTCCTCTCGCCTTTTAATGACTAAGAATATATAATTCGATTTTGTTAATATTTTTCAATTTCATAATACTGTCAAATTTGTAACAAAGATTCAGTTAAATTTAATCTTTATCGTCAAATTTAAGAATAAATCAATTATAACTTGAACCTTCAGTTTCCATGTTAACTTACACATAAACTTTCAGTTTGTAGTTCAAGAAAATCTTGTCAGAATCATTCATCACTTACTGAAACTGGAATTTGTTCCGATTTGAGTTGTGTCCCTTGTTTTTAAATACTCTCAAATATTGTTTGCAAATATTTTTCCTTTAACACAGTTTGAAATGATTTTCCCTAGTGGCATATCGTCCTGTATGTTTTTTTAAAATATCTTTTGTTGTAAATTTCTCGAAAATTTTGCTCATACTCACACACTGAAATTTTTTTTCTTTACGTTAGATATGTTAACATGTATTATAAATAACATTCATAGCATTTATTGGTACCATCAAAAAGGAAAGCAATAAACTTTAAAAAAAAATTTTTTAAATTTAAAAATCCATTGAAGCTTTTATTTTAGTTTTAATTCTAAGTTATTAGATTGAATTTAATATTAACAATAAGCAAAACCGAATTTAAATTGATTGGAATGATTTTTTAAATGATTGGAAACAAATATACTTTAAAATTGCAGAAAAGTATTTTTTTAATGCAGAGGTTGGTATTTTTATCAGGTGTTAACATATCTATCGACAACTTGATGTTAGGGAAATTTAAGTAAGGAGGAGATAATTGAAATAAAATTACATGATGAATACAACATAAACACATTTTTACCTACCCTGTAATCTTCAAACATTCTAATATTTTATTAACTTTTAGGATTTTAGTTTTACTTACAAAGATGCTTGTTGAGGAAATGTTAAAAAATTATCAATAAGTTTTTAATTTATTATAGTTACTGCTCTTATTTTATGATAATGTTGTGTATGGATGTCTGTATTTACAAAAATTATTTTATGCACACACAAAATAAATTCAAAATTCTTTTTAAAATACTTGGAGGAGGGTCATTGAATTGTAGTGAGCTTTTCCAATTATGATTAGTAATTACCATTTTAACTTAATATCAATTGACCAATATAAATTAATACAGAATTTTAAAATTTTGTGAATTATACTAATTAAAATTAAAAAAAAATTCTTTTAATTCTTCTAAAACTAGAGTATTGATTGAATAAATTTTTTCTTAAGACAATAGTGTTCATTTTATATACATAAAAGCGATTAAAAAGTTTTATTGCATTTTTTATTTTACAATTCAGAGCAGATCTAGGGGTCCTGTTTGACAAAAAAAACTGTTTTAAATTCTCAGAGGACTTATCTTTATAACTAATATATGAACATTAAGGGATAGAAAAATTAATATCTCGGAATTTCATAAGCTCAGATTAGTGGGGAGGTAAGATATTTTCTAAAAAAGACACATTTCAAAAATAACTTAATTCATTTCTAAATAAGTCCTGAAAGTTCCACTAAAGTTTGGCAATTACCTGATTTTGCAAGAATTTCCAAATCAGTGTTTTTCACTGCAAAAAAGACACTCAAATTTCCTGTACAAATCTATGGTCTCATGTTGACACCAAAAAAACAAAATTTTTAACAAAAATTTACGAGGTTCTAAAAAGGATTTAAAAAAAAAAAATCTTTACATCAAAACATCCTTTGATCTTTCATCTAATAATATAAAGGTTTTGATGATAAAATTTTGTTTTTTATTATGTTTTGTGTTTTTTTAAGCCTTTTTGCAGTTTGTGGAGCATGCAGTGAGGATCAAACTCTCTATACTATTAAATGGCTTTTGAAACAAGCTCACTTACCATAGATTTGTGGCATAATATGATAATTATTTGTTCTAATTTTATCAAAATCAACATAAAAACATATTTGCAAATTAATAGTAATCTAGTCTATAATATCGAGTAAACTGATTCTCCCCCTCCCTCCTAGATTTCTGTCATTTTCTTTGATATATTATAATTGTAATTATTTTTTTTTTTTTCTCTTTTGTAGTTGAAGAGATCTGAAAATGTCTGAAACACGGCCTGGTTCTGAAAGTGGTGGTGTGGCAGTGAGTGGGACAACAACTAATGTACGTGCCCCTCTGCCACAAGTACAGGTAATCCATCAACCTGTGCATAGTCCACCTTACATGCCAAACTTCCCATACAACCAGCAACAACTCATGCTACAAAATGCAGCTGTCCAAGGTGAACTTTCTTTCTTTTCACTGTAATAATTTTGTCTTCAAATGACACACATAATTCTTCTGAATTGAGCTTTTCTTTTATAATGCTTTTTTTTTTTTTTTTTTATATATAAAAAAACAAAACAGAAAAGTCTCACCAACAAAACTGTTTTTGGGTTTGGTAAACTTACAAACATCCAGAGCATAAACATTCACAAGAAATTTTTCGACCTGAACAAGACCAAACTGATAAACTTACTTCTAATTTCAACTTTGATTGAAAATATCCTATTATCATGCGGCTTACAGCCTTACTGCTTCAGTTCAACATATTAATTGATCTTGGCATTAATTTAACTTTTTTGTGAGGAGCAAAAGAAAGTGATACTCTGGCTGATATGTATTTGGTTTTATTGTATCTGCCATAGTTTAGTAGTTAACAAGTAGACCAATTCACTAGCGAGGCCAGTCCTCACTGGTGGGCTCTATTATTATGGCCTTGTACTAAGCTTAGTTAAGTGATTTGAAATAGGAACACCGATAGTTTGTTGATGCTTTAAAAACTTTTACAAAGGAAGGCAGAAAACTGTTGATAATGGTTTCAAGAACAGTTTTTATTTATGTATGCATTTCTGAGATGAGAACATTAGTCCAAATGTATATAATAATTTCCTCATCTTTATTATTATCATAATGTTTCAGCGATTGTGTCCTCCAGGCTTTTTTAGGTGTCTCTCATCAGGTTAACCTTCAGAGAATTTCAGATTGAACCCTTTATTTAATCTACAGATGTAGATTGTTTTTGTTCATGTCTGGAGATATCTTGGCTTGTTCTTTTTGTATGGCTCAGTTATTACTCACCTTGTTTCTATTAAGCCTAAGACTATTATCAAATTCATGAAACAGTGCTTCTTTAATCCACAATAAAAGGTTCATTTGAAATTCCCTCAAGATTGGCCAGATTGACAGACACCTAAAATAGGTTAGAGGGCACAATGGCTAAAATGTTAAAATAAATACATAAAATAAAGATACTTGTCCAAATGGAAATAAAAAGCTTTTTTTTATCTTTTTTTTAACTGAAGATTTCAAGATTTGTGGAAATATGAGTGGCAGTTGGATCACTTATTTGTTCCTTCTTAAGAATCTCAGAAAAGTTTTGAGTCTTGAAAAATATGATGGTCATTTTCATTGATTAATGTTTGAATTTCATAAGAATTGAGGAAATTTTAATATATATAACTTCCTCTTAAAGCATGTCTGCAAGTACATTTCTAAATTAAATGTTTTTCTGGATTTTTTGAATTTTTTCCAGTCCAAAATTTTAAATATATAAATCTTAAAACTTTCGACTGCCTTAAATTCATTTTGTATATTTGACATCACCATTTACATTAAATCTAAAAGTTGACTTTCAATAATTCTTTCAATTCATTTATGGATCTTGTTTTATTTATTATCTTTACTGTCAGAAGAAGTCATGATGAGCATTTACAAACAGATTTGAAATGACATTCTTAAGGAGACAATTTATTTCTTTGAAGGATATTTGTCAAATAAAACATAAAGGATGCATTTTACTTGCCAAATTTGTGTCTTCATCAAATTGTAGTTTGTGTTTTTATTATTAAAAGTTTCTTTTGAATTCAACAAGAACCATCTTGAAAAAGCATCTTCAGTAAATTAATAATTAGAGATAAATAAAAAAAATCTGTTTTTGGGTGGGGGAATATTTGAAAGAATGATAGTTTTTACTGAATAGAATGCTATTAAGAAATTTAATTTACTTTTAATGTCTCTCTTTCAATATTATATAAGTTACTCATCCAAAACTTGTGGAAATGTACTTATGGTTTTGCTTAACTTTTTAAAAAATTCATGCCTTTTAATTATGAATCACTAAGAATTTATCTGATTTTGATTTTTAAACTTAATTTTTGGGGATTGTCTCTGCAAACATCAAAAAGTTCAATTCTTTAAAACTTTACTGACACCAATGATAACATTTTATTTTACGTGTGTGTGTGTGTGTGTGTGTGTGTGAGAGAGAGAGATAAAAATATTACCCCCAAAGTTAGATTATTAATTCTTAGCTTAAATTTAAACATAAAAAATACATACACTTTGGATGAGGGACAAAAAAAAGTCTTCTATTATGTTTTATTAAAATCAACAGCTTAAAAAGTGTGTGTGTGTGTATATATATATATATATATATATATATAATATATTCTCAGTATTTATTTTATTGGAACACACTTTTAAGTGAAATTTGATCAAATCTGATTCTAACTATTTGTTTAAATGCCATAGAGAAGCATCCTGTGGAAAATTGATTATAAATAAATGCTCTTCTCTTTATAATTATTTTGAAATATTTTGGTATTTTGCTCACAATTGTCCAAGTTTCTTTTCATTTGAACTTGGTTGATTAGGGATGAGTGAAAAGCTGAAGGTGATGGGAGCAACATCACTTCTGTATAAAATATTTTAGAGAACTAAAAGTATTATATCTCTCCACTCTCAGAATTTCTCCCCAATTTTTTTTTATTTCCTCCTCTTTTGAAATTGAAACAGCAAATCTGGTCTACTATCTCAGATATTTTGAAATAGATTTGAAATGAAATTCCACTATTGGTGATTTACAGACTAAATCCAAAACTCATCTCTTGCACTTCAAAAATCATTTTCTCTAAATTAAATACTTTAGTGCTTTTCACCAATGTTGAATGACAATAGAATTTTATTTATTTTTCAAGCATTTTATAACATTCTTATTAAGATGTAAAAACATGTTTTGTTACTTATTTCCAAGTGAGATATGAATTTTAAAATAAGATAATATTTTTATAACAAATATTCTTCATGATTTTATAGGCTTAAATGTTCTTGTTTTTGAAGACATTTTTGTGATTTATCTAATTGCACAAAAACTCTGAAGGAAATTGTTTTAATGTTTCATCGTGTTCCTTTTTAAAAAGTAACTTGAACTGTATTTTGATAAACCTAATCATTATTATCAAGCAAAGTTCATTTTCTTATTCAAATATAAGAATAAAAAACTGAATTTTTCACTTGATGAAGTTCTTTCACATGTTATAATCAGCTTAAATAATTAATCATAAATTTCTTCCATTCTGTCTTTTTCTAAATGTCTCCATTTTCCTTCTGAGTTGTTTTTCAAACAAATTGTTTGATTTGTACAAGTAGCTTGTGCTACCCCATTTCTCTGTAGTGGTAGAATATTAGCTCCAAATATTTGTGATCAGGTGTTTATCTCGCAGCGGCGATGCAAGCAGGTGCAATGAATCCACAGCTGAACATGGCTGCTATGCAGGGAAGACCACCCTCTGCCAGCCCCAAGAGTCCTGGAGTTCTCTCTCCTAGCCCCACTGCCGGAGTCGTAAGTAAAACATCAATTCAATCAAATTTCATACAGATTTTTCTCCCACCATTTTTGTCATATCTTCACCACCCTTTCCTTTCTCTCATTATTTTGAGATTCCTTTTTATCATTTGACATAGAATTGGTTGCTTCAAGAATTTAAATTTTATTCCTTTTAAAATTTACACATATCTTTAGATAATGAAATCAGCCTTGCTGTCCATTCTTCATTGGCAAATGCAAGTTATACTCAAGCATCTTTTCAACTAAGAAGCTTTTGAATTCCATCAAGTTTTGTTGCTACACAAAGTTAATTTTAGACCAACTAAAAATCTTATTGTGCAATATTTTCTCATATTATTTTGAGAGAAAACTGTCTCTCTGCAAGTTGAGCTGAAAACTTATATAATGCTTCTAGCTTCAGTAAATGTTGATAAACATTTTTGTTCTTTAAATCAACTCTTCTATCCCTAATTTATTTTTTCTCCTCATTCAACTGCATTAACTTCATCTGATTTGAAATTCAGTGACATTTTCAAAATCCAGAGATTCTTCACTATTTAACTTTAATTCAATTAAAAATGAAATCTTAAATAAAGTATTTTTCTGTTCATTGTTTTTAAGCTAATTTAAAAATGATAAATCCTTTCAAAATGAATTTGTAAACAAAAAACAAAATGATTTTCCATATGTGACAGAAATTGCTAACGAACCTCATTTCCATTCTAAAATAAACTATAATAGGAGGTCACAAGTTGTTGACAGCTACATAATGTCAAGTAAAAATATAAAATTGGTGTTGCATCTTAAGTACAAATAGCATTTCTTTAAAATATTTGTTTTTCCCTCTTTTCCATCAATTCTTTATTTTTGTTCTATAAAAACTAAGTTATTTATGCTGGAATTTTTTAGATGAGGAATTATCATTATTATATCCCTTTTCATTCAGTGTAGTATTTTCATCTAAGTTATGCTCACAATGTTTCAGTTATTTTGCCCTTTGTTCTCTTTTAAGTAGCTGTTGTACTTGGTAACTTCTGAATTTTGAACCAAATCCTTTATCCAATCCATGAGGTTAAGTTTTGTTTTTCCATGTTTAGGCAATACCTTGTATCAGCTAATTCTCTCTAGTCTGTTTCACCTTTGTGTTGTTTCTCTGTTTCTTCCAATTAACTAAAGGAGATAACTTTTCAATATTTGTGAAAAGAAGCCAAGCTAATAGAGAACAACACTGGAAGATAAGATGACTGAAACATGTTAGGTTCTGATAACCTCCTCAGTAAACTTAGCATAGATATAAATTCCGTTTGAGAACATTAAATAAAAAAAGAACACTCAAAAATTTTGTAGCCTGAGTATTGACATCAAGTTTAGGGCTCTAAAACTACATCACTGGATTAGACACCTGCATTTTTTTAATTAGTTAAAGCATGTCTGGTTTTATGGCAGTTATGAGTTCAATCCTCATGTTTGGTAGAAAAGGAAACTGGTTCAGGAGAAGAAATGAACAATTGACACAGAGGCAAAATAGACTAAAGATAATTGACCAATATGAAATAAGCATGGAAAGCAGAATGAGAATAATCTATAAAAATCTGAAGAGGTTACCAAATACAACAGCTTCCTGTTGAAGGATGGAGGGTACAACAGCTGAAATGTGAGTTTAACAAGTAAAAACAAGAAGAGCATATTAGTTTGAATAGAAAGGCATATAATAAGATACTAACAAGTTTTTTTTTTCCCTATCACTGGCTTTTTGAGATTTAATTCTTGTCAACTTTAATAATTTGAATTTTATTTAATCCTATAATAGTTTTAGTTTTTGTTCTTTTTTCTTTTTTTTTATGAAAAATGTTTATTTAAAAAAAATTGTCTCTTTTTCTGTCTTTTTTTTTTTCTTTTTACTTCGCACCCTTCTTGGTATTTTTCCTTCATAATCTTAACTTGTTAATTTTTCTCTTGACAGTTGATTTTTAATTTAAAATTCTCATCATTTATCAGTACATTGTTTCCATTTTGGCTGCTTTTCTTGTTCTTATTAGTAAACTTGCAATAAGATTGTATAGGTGCCGAGGAATAGAGAATATGCATGTAATTTTCTCATCACTAGAATCAATTGGGACAGAATGTGAATTCATGATCATTATTTAAAATTACATTTGAATTCTTCTTCTTTCCTGAATTCAATATTGTGCTCAAGATTTTTATTACTAAGTATATTTATATTATTGCTGTTGCTACATGTGTCTCTTTAGTTATTCTGTGAATTTCTGTATTTGAAACATGCATACACAGGTATTTAATCTTAGTATCAGTTATAAAATACAATATAGTGAGTAACTAAATCTCAGGGAAATTTTGCTTTTGTATCAATTTTAAGGATATTACTTATAAATGTACATGCCTACCACTTATATACAGTCAGTGACAAAATTACTCGTACACCCATCAATTTGGAATATTTTTATCCATTTCTCAGAATGCCAGGTTTTGTATATATGTTAATAAGCACAAAAAAGTAATCTTAAACTCAATTTTCAGAACAATAGGTTAAATACAACAAAGTTGACGGGTGAATAAGGCAAAATAAGAAAAGACAAATTTATTTGTACAGTAGAAAATATTTTAAATTGATTGATTCATGTAAGTATAAGTAATTTACATAATTATTTTATAAGTGGAGCCTTCTCGACTATTTATTCAGTAGAATATTTGTGATAATTCCAGCAAAGAACATCACGTGGTGCATAGTATCACCATTGATATTCTTATGTTAACAACCCAATGGGGAAGACAAAGGAACTTAGTATTGAGTTGAGACACAAATCAGGAAATAGTTACAGCACTATTTCAAACCAGTTATCTATCTCTAGATCTATGGTACAGTCCATTATAAAGAAGTTTAAACAGTTTGGCATGACAAAGAATTTGCCTGGGCATGGAAGAAAACCTTCAGGAATTAGAACATGTAACCATTGAAGAATGGATGAAAATCCCAGAAAAGACTTGTTCAAATCTCATCAAAAACTTTAAAAAATGATTGCAGCAAGTTATAAAGATTAGAATTCATGCTATTGACTATTGTGAAAACTTAAATTTTTTCAATTTTTCATACTGTATGAATAATTTTGTCTTTTACACACACACACACAAAGAATGTAAACTTGATGGTATCTCTGCAGTAATTCTTAAGAAATATGTTTCTAACCTGGCTCCTGTTCTCTGTAAACTCTACAATAAATGCCTTGCTGCTTCTTGCTTTCCTGCTTGTTGGAATTCCTCTTCTTTAGTTCCCATCTTTAAGAACTCAGGTGAACTGTCTGATCCTTCTATTAGCCTTCTACCTTTTTTGACAAAGTACTAGAGGTTCTAATCAACTCTGAATTAGTTAAGCATTTCACCTTGCAGGGTCTTTTTTCAGATAAGCAATATGGCTCTCATTTCTCTAGGTCAACTGCTGGTGTATTAATGATTATTGTTGAAAGAATTTATCAAGCTTTAGATAACAATAGTGTAGCCTAGGCTGTTTCTTTTAGATATCTCAAAGGATTTTGACACAGTTTGGCATACAGGTCTTCTTCAAAAGTTGAAAGGTTATGTTATTCCTGGGCAAATTTTTTAACTGATTCAGTCTTATCAAATTGCAAAATGAAAATTGTCTTGAAAGACCACTCTTGTAGATCTTTTTGCATTAATGCAGGTGTCCCCCAGTGTTCTATCCTCGGATGTACTTTGTTCCTAATTTCCATAAATGACTTTGATGATTTCAATTCTCAACTTGGTGTCTATGCTGATGACACAACTACATACTCCTATCTTAATAGTCTCATTGGTTCAATAATGTTAAATTGGCAGCTAATCTCAAAAATTACCTACAATCTGTTATTAACTGTGGCAAGGAATGACCTGTTAATTTTAACACCTCCAAGATGAAACTGCTTTCTTTTAATTTTCTGATGCTAACCTCCAGGAGAGTAAGTCATTGTGCCTTCTTGGGCTAAAGTTTTTCACTAACATGCAACGGAAAGATTATATTGAATCAGTTGCTAGGTCTGCTACTAGGAAAGTTGGTTCACTGTGTCGTGCTATACAATTTTTCTCTCCAGAATCTATCTAACATGTTTATAAGTCTACCATTCATCTTTGCTTTGAATATTGCTGCCACATATTGTCTGGTAATATTCTTGGTAAAATCCAAAGAATTTTCAATATTATTGATCATGATGAGCTTTCCTCTTTGGTACCTCTTCTGGCTTCTTGCTTCCCAGTCAACTTTGATCTTCAAAAATTTAAATGCAATGTCAATTGTTATCTTCTATCTTTTTAATTCTTGTTCTTTTATTGTTCTCTTTCCTTAATAGTGACATTTTTTTCTCATATTCTCTCACACTCAGTAACCCCTTGCATCTTAGTGGCTTTATTGCTTTGCTTGGGATGAAATGATTAAAAAAGAAATCTTCAATAAATTAAGAAATGTTCAAGGACTTATTAGCCAACTCAAGAATTGATTGAATATATCTAGTTATCTATTGAGTGCTTTTTGGCAGAAGTTCTGCTCACCTGAAAAAAAACTTGTAAAATTCTTGTAATTTTCTTGTGTTTTCTCGGTTGTATTATTTCCTTTCTAGATAGGAAGTATATTTTGAACTCTAGGATGCATAAAATAGTTCTCCTGTCACACAAACTGTTCTTCATACAGCTGCATTACCTGAATTCACTATAATTGATTGTAATTCCTGGTATTATTCTAATATGGTATTTTATAAAATTTTCTTAAGTTACAGCTTTATGACATACAGTACTGACAAAAACCATTGGGTTCCAAACAAAGTTTACTACAAGAATGACACATGGAGTGAACCAACAGTTCTCAGTCAGGATGGACAAGTTCTGGTCAAACAGTGTTATTTATGTTAGAATAAAACCCATGTAGGTTGATTTTAGAAAGACCAATTCAACCAAATCCCACTAAAATAGATCGCACTGCACCAAATTCAAACAATATTCCTAAGAACATG